TAAGTCATTTCTTGTTAATGGTACGGTGCGGACATTCGTTTCTCTGCCAGCAGCCAGCGAGGGATATCGTTTTAAAGGCAGTGGCTACAGCAGATTTGTGACCAACAAAGTTGCTTCATTCTCACAGGATGGCACTTATTTTTCAACCTCGGAACGAAGAAAGGCGAGTGACCCAATTTGTCGGTTATGAGTCCAATGCGCTAGCGACTGACCAAGCATATTCACTGCATATATATATATGTATATACACTGTCTAGGAGAAAGGTGATGTGACGGCATGAACACAAGGAGTAGGTAGTTTCTGAATATGTTATAATCTGGATCCACCGTAACAGGAGAGCGGATGATGATGCTTCGGCCGCTGAGATATACGAATTGGTGAACAGTTTACGGGCAGTGTTGAGTCAGTGCTCTTACTACCTAAGTTTCTTGAAACGCTGGCTTCAGTGCGTTTCGCAGCATCACCCTCTTTGGTCTATGGCAGCTAAGTAAATTACAAGTAAATTACTGTTGGAAGTCGAAGTTATTTTACATGTTGAGATTACTGTCCGCATGCTTTCGGTTCTGACGACAAAAAACCATTATTACATATTATATGGTTACTTTGTACACCGCTGTTTGAATTAAATGATTCCTCAGAAACGGTATTTTCTTCTGGATAAATAGATCTGTAACGAGAAGAGTGTTAAAATGCCACTTGCCTAATTACTATGTCGCTTTTATTACTTGTGGATCACCTTTAAAGGAAATACCAGAAAGCGGTGGTCACCGTTCCTGTCTTTCCGTGGTAGCGAAATTGACTTCATTATTATTTCAAATGTATAATAGGCAGTCTAAACAAAATAAGCACGATTGAAAAATGTCTGATCCAGTAGTCATGGTGTGAATCTAAGTTTATATTTATTATTTATCAACTAATGTAAATTTTTCCTGGTTTTAGATATGATCATTCATTGCTCAGCGAAGATGTTTCCAAAATTTTGCTACCCCCTAATTCAAGACTGAAGGCAATTGTAAATAAATACAACAGGTTGAATGGCCTGAAGTGAAAGTCTGCTATTTCCAAGCAGATCGTCTGCATTAAAACAAATTGTAAAGAGGCATGTACTAATTTTTTGAAGTAGAAGGAAGGAGAGCTTTTCACTGTCGAAATGTCGTTCTTCCTTTACTTTCATAATCGGCGCCCTACTTTTCATGAAGTTAATGGTTCGGTGTTGACCTACTTTTTATGCCGTCAGCCAAGAGTGCATGACTTTTTAGAGGCAGAGTCTACAGTAATGTGACAAGTGCAATGTCTAGTCTCCTGTTTACCTCCTACAGCGGTGCTCATTTATAAACTTTAAAAGGAAGAAGGACGAGTCATCTGAACCGGGGCTTGATCTGGGATCTATCCGTTCTGAGTTCGATTCCGTTCTACCGACTGAGCAGCTCAGGTCAGAAGCAGTGTATGGCAATTTCGTTGCTCAGTGGAATGCGCGCATAAGACAAAGATTGCTCTCGAAAGGAATCGAACCCGACACTTCTGGGGTTCGACGCAGACCCCTTAGGCCACTGTGCCAGCACACCACGTCAATTTTTTCACATCTATCAGAAATTTGTTGATCGTGAAATAGTTATGCATTAGCGTATAAAAAATGTTGATTGGATGGGGCGTGCTTTAAAACAAGTTTGATACGAGTCGTGGATGCCGCTGACCTGACCTAATGTGTTGAATCGTTCGTAATAGCCTGATGTGCTCTATTATGGTGACGGTCCTTTGTTTTGTGCAGTCTTCCAATGTCTATTTTCGACTTCAATTTAGCACCATTGTCGGAATTGCGGACTGATCTTCTGCAACGAGTGTTC